TGAATCAGTGAAAATATGACATAGGGCATTAATGCAGAATTTATAAGCCTTGAAAGTGTCATTAAACAAGGCAAATTCGATCGTACTGATCTTGACCATGCCTTTTATGATTATCTGGCGGACATTATATCGTCGGAAGTCAAAAAATGTGGAGATAGTGTACCCGTAGTGACCGGTAAGTTTCGGTCTGCCATAATAAAAAAAAAAAAACAACACATATATATTTAAACTTAATAAATTCGAAACTTTAGGAAACTTTGGTGTTTTTCCGGGAAGTCTTCTTGATAGCGTTGGACGCGGATACACTGATTTATGTGCTGCTCTAATCGCTTCCGGACTTCTTGCTAAAGAGCTTCAAATTTGGAAGGAAGTTGATGGAATTTTCACTGCAGATCCGCGAAAGGTTAAAAATGCAAGGCTTTTATCCACTATTACTCCGGAAGAAGCCTCTGAGCTTACATATTATGGTTCCGAAGTTATACATCCTTTTACTATGGAACAAGTAATGCGCAGGAATATTCCTATTCGTATAAAAAATGTTATGAACTCACTTGGTGACGGAACAATTGTGCTTCCGGATAATCTAGCCGAGAATGGATGGTCGAATAATTACAAGATTAATAATAATGGATATTACTCTGACATGTCGAAAAAGCAACCTACAGCTGTGACTATTAAGGATGGAATTATTGTTATCAATGTTCATTCAAATCGCAAAACAATTAGTCATGGATTTTTTGCGCGGATTTTTGCTGCATTAGACACACATGGAATCATAGTTGATTTGATTTCTACGAGCGAGGTTCACGTTTCAATGGCTCTCAGCGCAAATATTGCAGAACATGAATTGCACGGGGCGATACAGGAATTAAAGAAATTAGGACAGGTGAATAGATTTCACGGGATTTGTTATTTCACTTTCACTATTACTAATCCATCCATTTTTAGGTTGATGTCCTCAAAGACATGGCCATTTTAAGCTTGGTTGGGAAGCAAATGAAAAACATGGTTGGTATTGCTGGGAAGATGTTTAGTACACTTGCGGCGGCGAACGTCAATATCGAAATGATATCTCAAGGCGCTTCTGAGATTAATATCTCCTGTGTAATTGATGAAGTAAATGCGGAAATAGCACTCAATGTCATACACGCTAATCTATTGCCTCTCCATAATATTTAATTATTAATATTTTTAAAATGGGTTTAATTAATCTCGATAGTGTAAAAAAGTATTTTCTAAATTCACCTAATTCTGATTTATTTAATAGATAAATTCCCTTTTAGAAGTTTCTATAAAAAACTTTAATACGATTAAATTTATCTTTCTTAACTTGTTTGAGGTTAAACTTAAGAAATTTCTGGCCAAAATGAAATACGGTACAGATGACCCCGGAGGGTATAGATTACAGTTTATTAGCTTTGCCTATCGTCGAGTCACGCCACAGCTACAAATATCAAAATCAACTGAGACGATTTTATCGATACTATAAATTTTACACAGCGTAACTGAAACCTAATTTACGTTTCATGTAAAAGTAATAAATTAAGTACGATTTCGTACTTTAATTTGTTACAGTAAATAAATTCAGTACCATTTTTAGTAACATACTGTGTTGTAAAAAGTTGAAGCAACTTTGTTTTTGAGTTGCGAAAATTTTTTTATAAATTTTATGTAAAATAAATGTTTTTTTTAACTCCATTCTTGTTATAATAACTTGTGTATGTTCAAATCTAAAGGTTTTATATAAAACATTCATGGGATAACTTATTTATTTTTAATGCATTATTAGTATTGAATTTTATTCTTCCATAAAAAGAAGAGTTCTTGAATTAAAGTAGTATTTCTATTCAAAGTTTCTATTTATTTGTTTTGAATATAAAGCAATTGATATAACTATTTTAATTCCTAGTTACTTAAAAATAGCTTGCTAGAAATAACTGATAAATTTTAGATTCCAGTTGAAAATAACAATTTTGAAAAGTTCAAAATATTTAAAAATAGTTGTAAAAAAAATCTCAAAGTTATAGTCAAAACATATATTAATTGAAATGTATTTATTTTTTTTTTTAATCTATCATCAGACTAACATATCTTAAAAGAGGTAAAATAGGTTTATATAGCTAATTACTTTCATATTAATGCTAAAAAATTGATTTTCATTATTATTAATTGAAATTTTCAAGAGTTTGAAACTGTTCAAACTAAAATTAAAAGTATTATAGTTCAAGAAATTGACAAAAAAGGTCAAATAATATTTCTTGATATTTGACTGGGACCCAAGCAAAACAATAGAAATATAATTGATCTAATAAAATTAAAAATTATAATTATAATTCAAGCAATAAACAAAAAAAATGCTGCCTAAAAAATATATCCATTATATTATAAATAAACTTCTTATACTATAAATAGACTTGCAATAGTTTTATAGTTATATATAGTATTAAAGATAAAAAAATTAATTTAAATTCAAAATTTTTACTATAATTATATAATAGACTATTTATTATAATATGATCAAAGTTTATATAAAACAATCAATTGTCAACTATCACCATATCTCATACAAGATAGAAAAATATGTGAGCAATCCATTTACAACAAAAAGATAAAATACTATAAACTGAG